AGCTGGACTGCTCAAATTAGTGAAAGGCAGCACATCAGTAATAACATCAAGATGGGGGCCTAAATTGCATTGCTAAAGCCAGCATCTATGTAGGCACTGACTAAAAGCCCATTTAGTTCAATTGCAAAATGTTCATTTATTGAGTCCAATGGGCTCTGGAGGAGACGGCTAGATAGTGTCTCAGGACCAGGCATTGAAAACAATGTCCCTTCTGAAAGGTGCAGATATGAGCTGAATGGAAAATTTCCAACAGTCAAGCAGGACAGAGGCCTCACTCCCATTGAAACGTACAGGATTTTGGTAGGTAAACTTCTGCAGTGCTTTTGAAAATCCCTCTGGGCACGTATCTCCTTCATTAGGCACCTCAGCAATCCTGGCCCTTAACATCTTCCATCCCATAGACTTTGGATAAAATGTAGGGACTTAGAAGGCAGGTTTTTAATTTTATGTCAATGTTTAGGTGCCTCTTAGACTTTCAGAGGCAGAGGCAAGAGGATCCCAGGCTGAAAATCAGACCAGGAAGATCTCTGCCACTGAAAAGTCACATCCGGCGGAATGTCTTCCACAGAGCCTCCTTCACCTCTTTATTTCTCAGCGTGTAAATGAAGGGGTTTAACAGCGGTGTCACCACAGTGTTGAAAATGCTGACGACCTTGTTCATCTCCACGAAGTTCTCCTTGGAAGGCCGGACGTAGAGGAAGATGGTGGAGCTGTACCAGATGATCACGACTGTTAGGTGGGCTGAGCAGGTGGAAAAAGCCCTTTGGCGGCCTTGGGCCGAGGGGATCCTCAGGATGGTGGAGATGATGTAAACGTAGGAGACCAGGGTGATGGAGCAGGAGCCCAGGATGACGATGATGGCGATGATGAAAGTTGTCGTCTCGATGACAGAGGTGTCGGTGCAGGAGAGGATGATGAAGGAATCGAAGCTGCAGAAGAAATGGTTGATGACGTTGGAGCCGCAGAAGGACAGCTGCGTTAGCAGAGACACCGGGATAGAAATAGCCAGGAAGCCAGAGAGCCAGGACCCCCCGGCCAGCAGAGCGGACAGGCTGGTGTTCATGAGGGTGCTGTAGCGCAGCGGGTAGCAGATGGCCAGATAGCGGTCGTAGGCCATGGCAGATAAAAGGATTTGCTCGGTGCAGCCCAGGGAGAACATGAAGTACATCTGCAGGATGCAGCTAGAGAGATGAAGGAATCGAAGCTGCAGAAGAAATGGTTGATGACGTTGGAGCCGCAGAAGGACAGCCGCGTTAGCAGAGACACCGGGATAGAAATAGCCAGGAAGCCAGAGAGCCAGGACCCCCCGGCCAGCAGAGCGGACAGGCTGGTGTTCATGAGGGTGCTGTAGCGCAGCGGGTAGCAGATAGCCAGATAGCGGTCGTAGGCCATGGCAGATAAAAGGATTTGCTCAGTGCAGCCCAAGGAGAACATGAAGTACATCTGCAGGATGCAGCTAGAGAAGGAGATGGTTCTGCTCTTGCCCATGAAGATCGCGATGGTCTTAGGGACGCCCACAGTGGTGTACCAGATCTCCAGGAAGGAGAGGTTGCAGAGGAAGAAGTACATGGGGGTGTGGAGCTGGGGCTGAATCCTCACCAAGATGATGATGGAGACATTCCCAAGGACAGTCAGAATGTAGATCAGGGAAAACAGGACAACCAGGTAGGTCTGGAAATTCCCGGTGCCGGGAAAGCCCAGGAAGATGAACTCCGACTGGCTGGTTTGGTTTTCCATCTCTGGACTCGTCCTGAAGCCCATCTGCCAAGACAAGAGACATTGGCGACAGCAGGCGGGGAGTAGCCCCAAACGCCCTGCTTGAACCACTCAGCTGCAAGTGCTGGAACAGCTCCTTCACTGCCGCTCCTGGCCAAGGACCAAGCACCGTCTAGACCATCCCTGACAGGCGTCTGCCTAACCTGCTCTCACCTATCTCCAGGGGTGGAGTTTCCACAACCCCCAGGCAGCCACCGGAGACGTACTCTGGTAGTGGGGAAAAGCTCTGGCAACTCCCTCCTGCCCCAGCTTTCCCCACATCCTTCCCACTGCCCGTGCCTTTCACTTCCTCCTGGCGCTAAGCCCTGCAGTGCTGGCTGCAGACTCCTCTTCAGTGCCTAGCCGCTTACCCCCAGCACGCCACAGCCGCTGCCGGGAAATGTCGATGTAGCTCTAGGGCCTTCCCGGCCCAGGTGGCTGCTCATGGACCTGCCAGCTGCACAAACCCAGTTGCTAGTAGGAACTCTGCTGCAAAACAATACTGGCCTTGTTTCCACACGCAGGCCCTTTCTAAGCCTCCGACAAGGCTGAGTCTGCTGGGCAACATCGGCAGGCCTAGGAGACTGATTTCTTTTGAAGGATGTTCAGCTTAGGGGCTTTGCACTCTTCAAAATCCCACTGGCTGCCGATTGAGAACTTTAGGTACCTCAACCCCATTGCAAATCGCTCCCTGGGCTGCCTAATTCTCACTGAACATCTGCAGCACTTGGGCTGATAACTACTTGATGAAAGTGAGAACGTACAAGGAGAGGCTGAGGGATTTGGGCTTGTTTCATCTGCAGAGGAGAAGAGTGAGGGGGGATTTGAGAGCAGCCTGCAACTTCCTGAAGGGGGGTTGCACAGAGGACGGAGAGAGGCTGTTCTCAGTGGGGGCAGATAACAGAGCAAGGAGCAATGAGCTCACGTTGCAGCGGGGGAGGTCAGGGCTGGATATGAGGAAGAACTATTTCCCTAAGAGGGTGGGGAAGTGCTGGGATGGGTTCCCCAGGGAGGTGGTGGAATCTCCATCCCTAGAGGGCTGTGTCTACACTGGCTGCTTGAATTTCCACAAGAACACTGACTTCCTACTGTGTGAAATCAGTGCTTCTTGAGGAAATACTATGCTGCTCCCGTTCGGGCAAAAGTCCTTTTGCACAAAGCTTTTCCGCAAAAGGGCCAGTGTAGACAGCTCAGAATTGGTTTGTGCAAATAAGCTCTGATCGTGAAAATGGTGACCAGGGCTTTTTTGAGGAAAAGCGCATCTAGATTGGCACGGACGCTTTTCCACAAAAAGTGCTTTTGCGGAAAAGCATCCGTACCAATCTAGATGTTCTTTTCTGCAAATGCTTTTAACAGAAAACTTAAAGTTCAAAGTATTTCTGGAAACTCATGCCAATCTAGACGGAGCCTAACATTGTAGCTAGGGAGCTTGTGAATGTTCCTAGGTTTGAGTCCCTCCTCCTAATCAGCCAGAGCTGGGACATGAACTTAGCTTTGCCACAACGCTGGTGTCGGCTAACAGCAACCCCCTGTTGTGCAAATGTGTCTTGCTCTTCTGTATTGTCTGTCAAAAGTTTGGATGGTCTCATGTTCTTTCCATATTGGAGCAAAGTTTGAAATATCCCCCCTCCCGCCCCAGAATACTAGTTACACAGCTAATCCAGCCTCGCCCCTCCAGCCTGGTCTGAAGGCAGGTGAGGGAACAAGATAAGTGCAAACCGCTCAGCTAACAATACACAGCATGGGTGGAGCTGTCCAACCCACAAAGCAGTGTGCAAAGCAGTGCTGGGAACCTACAGTACATCGCTAAAGGTGTATGGGGATCTATCTATCTATCTATCTATCTATCTATCTATCTATCTATCTATCTACAGATAAAGCTGTCCAACCCACAAAGCAGTGTGCAAAGAGGGGCTGGGATCCTACAGTACATCGCTAAAGGTGCATGGGGATCTATCTATCTATCTATCTATCTATCTATCTATCTATCTATCTATCTATCTATCACAGCCCCTGTATCCCAGTTGGCTGTATTAGTTAGGTGATGTAGAAAATGCTCTTTCTTTTTGTTCAGTGTCGACTTTAGACAATGATGAAATAGAGCGATGAGACGGACTCGGTATATGTCTTTCAGCACGAATCTGCTGACTCCTACTTGAGGCTAACTGAATGGCAGTTTCCACATCGCTCACTGTACCAAGCGAGGCAGAACTCGGTCTCCGTGCACTGCTTCGCGCTGCAGTGACTAACCAGAACCACGAGCCAGGTGCAGCCTGACTTACCCCGTCCTCTTGGAGACCTTGGTAACACAAACTCCCGTCTCTGCCCGTCGTTTCCTGGCTGGGTGACACCCCAGAGCATGGCCGCCGGCCGCTGGTGCGCTGGACAGCGGAATATCTCCCCGCACCCCCGGCAAAGGGCTATCGCACCCCTGGCTCACGCCTACATCCAGGCCACTTGGCACCCCTGTAGGCGAGCGGAGGGCTTTAAACTACGTGTCGGTCCCTGCAATTGCGAGCCTCACCCCACCGCCCGAGCGGTGCAGAATCGCCCGTGTGAACGGGACTCTGCCTTTCAAAACGCGGAGACACGGGCCAAGGCGGAAGCTTGTCCCGTCTCTTTCCGACGGCCTCGCCCTACCTACCGCGCTAAGGAGCCGCAGGGTGCGCGAGGAGGCTTGTTTTGTACTCCGGCCCCAGGAGAGCTGCGCTCCGCAGACGGGCACAGACGCCCCTCGCCGGTGGAACCGATGCAGCTGGGGACCAGCAGCCTCCTTACGCTTTGGTGCGTCACTTGCGCTCCCCCCAGACCTCAGCTCCCCCAGCTGCGAGATCATGGCAAGTTGAACGCTGGACCCGGCCCCTCGCGGGCGCCGGCAGAGCGGGGCAGGGGAAGCCAGCGCGGAGAATTGTACCGGCCTCACAGAACCAAGGAGCGTGTCTCACATGCCTGGCCCGATCCCTAGCGCCTGATCTGCTACCCAGTGGCATGGGGCCCGTGTCTCGCCGCCTGGGAGGGGGGGAGCGAGCCGCGCTGTGAACATGAAACCGTGAGAACCCCGATGGAAAGACCTGGGGGCTTGTACCTGAGCAGCTGAAGTGATTTTCAAAATCCCATTGGGCACCAATCTGTCTGTTTAGCTACCTGAGCAAATCTGGCCCGTTGGAGGTTACGCTCAGTAGAGGTTCAGCAAAACATAGACCCCGGAGAAGGGCCCCCCCCAAAAGAGAGGCTGGAGCCAGGAACCACGGCCCAGCCCCTCCTTAGAAGTGTCCCCCCCCACCAAAGTCCCCTGGAGTCCTGCCCCCCAACCTACTGTCGGACAAGGGGAGGCTGCTGGAGGCCTGGGCCAGCCCTTTGAGCCCCCTCCAACAAATAATTTAGAGGCAGGGGGAGGGGGACAGCTGGATCCCAGAGCCGGTCCCTAGAGCCCCCACAACCAGGGTGGGAGTCACAGCTGGAGGAAGGGGCCCAGGCTGGATGCCGGGGGGGGGGAGCTGGAGGAGGCTCTCCTTAGAAGTGTCCCCCCCCACCACAGCCCCCTGGAGTCCTGCCCCCCAACCTACTGTCGGACAAGGGGAGGCTGCTGGAGGCCTGGGCCAGCCCTTTGAGCCCCCTCCAACAAATAATTTAGAGGCAGGGGGAGGGGGACAGCTGGATCCCAGAGCCGGTCCCTAGAGCCCCCACAACCAGGGTGGGAGTCACAGCTGGAGGAAGGGGCCCAGGCTGGATGCCGGGGGGGGGGGAGCTGGAGCCTTGGGCTGGTCTCCACAGCCCCCCAGTAGGTGCCACAGCTGGAGCAGCCCCAACCTGGCCACCGTGGGTGACTATGGTGAGCTCCCCTCCCCCGGGCTCCCAGCCCCTTTCCCTGAGCCCTGTACACAGCAAAACCTGTGCCCTCAGCCCCCAGCCCTGTGTCCTGACTTCTGCACCCCACCCCATGCGCTGAGACCCCCCCACCAAACCTTGTGCCCTCAGCCCCTCCACCTCTGCCCTTACTCCAGCACCTCAGCCCCTGCCCTGAGCTCCCCTGGCCTCCCAACCCTCTGACCTGGCCTCTGAATAAGGAGAAGCTGTTCACTTATTTCCATTATATAAGAACTAGGGGTCCCCAAATGAAATGAATAGGCAGCAGGTTTAAAAGAAACAAAAGGCAGTTTTTTCTTCATGCAGCGTGGTCGACCTGTGGAACTCCTTGCCATAAGATGTTGTGAAAACCAAGACTTTAACAATGTTCAAGAAAGATCTAGATACATTCAAGGAGGATAAGTCCATCAGTACTTAGAGGCTAGGGAAAGCATTCCTGTCCATCCTGGCTAATGCTCGTCAGAGGCTGGAAATGGGTGACAGGGGAGGGATCACTTGATGATTACCTGTTTCTGTTCACGCCCTCTGGGGCACCTGGCATGGCCACTGTCAATTGGCTACCAGTGGTCTGGCAAACAAGGCTGCTTAAAGCTTTCCCCCCTCCACCCCTTCCTCTCGCTCCCCAGCCCTTAGTCTAAAGCTTTCCCTGTCAGGAAAATCAAAACCAAATGAAGTAATGAGGGTGGTGGTGGGGGGGTGTCACCCATGGGACATTGTTGCACATTTTGTGGGGCCATCTGGTGGGGAAAGTTGGCCACCCCACCAATGTCCATGGGATACGTCCCTCTCTGGTTGTCTCGGGGCCCCTCGGGAAGCTGTGTCCGAACCTTTAGGCTGCTCTCTGCAGTGCTGGAGCTGTGGGCTGCTGGCCTGCACCCAAACAAGCTAATTCCTTGTCTTTAAATCGCTCCAGCACAGAACCCTCGAATCTCCGGCTGCGCAGAGACCTCAGGAGTCATGGAGCCCAGCGCCCTGCCCAAAGCAGGACCCACCCCAACTCAATCATCCCAGCCAGGGCTTTGTCAAGCCAGGACTTAAGCACCTCCACCTCCCCAGGGAACCCATCCCAGCGCTTCCCCACCCTGCTAGGGAAATAGTTTTCCCAAAGAGCCAACCTAGACATCTCCCACTGCAACATG